AATCTTTTGTTCCGGATTGTTCCGGTTTTTTAAACATTAATAGGCAAATTACCAAAAATTAAAGAAACAAATGAACAACTGCTATTTTTTCCAAATTAATTATGAAGAAAGTGAAATAGAATTTTATAAAGGCCCTGAAGCGAAAAGTATAAGATTGAAAAATATAAGATATAATATAATATCATAGATAAAAAAGTATTACATATAATCGAGTAATAAAGTCCGCAATTATGATTAAAAAAAAAGATTAATATAAAAAACGTCGTCGACTAGCAAATCTAGAAATTGCCGTTCCCGGTTTTGACTTTAAAAAATATGGTCACCTTACTATTACAAGTATCAAACAACATTTTTTACTATAATAGACAATAAAATTTATAAAAAGTACTAAAATTATAGTACTACATGTGAACACCACTAGTAGTTAGTATGATAATTACTTAATAGTAGACAAAATTATTATAGAATTTATAAAGTCTCCATGTGCAAAATATTTTTGGTTTGCAAAATTATTATTAAATTTATAAAGATATGCATCCTTTGTGTTGCGCTCTATGTAAAATATTTATAAACAATGATTTAAACTAATTAAGTTAAGTTTTCTTCAAAAACACGATTTTTCTCATTCCATATATCAAAAAGATATGTGCATGATAAAAAATATCAGAAAAGCTTTCTGACTCGCTGAAAAGATTATATTACACAGAAGAAATTTTTAATTGCTTTTTATTAACAACTCATAAATCTTTGTCTTTGTTATTCTTTGCTCTAAAAATTACATAATGAATAATGATGATAGTACTGATACAATATGAAAAGACTAAGATTTTAATAACATCATTCACGTTTTGTAGAATTTCATCACAATCTCTTCTTCTATCCAGGTTCCTATGACATCGATAAAGAATATAAGCAATTTTGGTTAAAGATCAATCGTGTTGTCATATTTCATTCTTGTGCCTCTGGTGAATCGAGGTCGGTCTCAAAACGTTTTTCCCTCACGGACTTATTTTCTGGAGTATAGTATCCATAATGTATACACACAAAATATATAATAACCTTCTACTAAAAGCTCGGTCCATTCAAAAGGTCTGCATACGTGATGCGATTTTGAGAGTGTCAAAAACATATGATGCTGGATTTAGTTTTTTGTATTTATTGAACTAGCCTGAGTAACTATACCAAATACAGCAATAATAAATATATAACTAAATGTAATTTCACATGTGATATTAAAGGTAAATTATGCTTCATTGTCTTGGAGAACTTACGAGATAAAATTTGGTATTTTAATTAATATCTACATTATAGTTGTGATGTAATAAAAATGCAGTTATTGTTTTTTTAAACACATCATTAATATTGAAGTAATTATCTGAATTTAACACATATTGAGTAGCTGCGTCTTGCAGACATGGTCGCGAGTATAAGCCACCGCTATGGCAACCTGATATCGTGCAGCAGCGATGTCCATTTTCACTTAAAAATATCGTCAAAAATATGTTTCCATGCGCTGTGAAACGACAATGGGAAATTTCTCACACTATTCTTTTCTGAATCGAGTTGGAGTTTAACTCAGCTTACGGACCTGCCCTAGGAGGTCTTATTATTTTTATTGAAGAGTCAAGTTAAAACATATATGTAGAGTGCAATTTGTTATTAATTTAAATAGAAAGCAAGATTCAACGTGTGCATGGCGATTTTGGCAGAAGTTTGAGCCAGGAACAAACTTATAATTCATAAAATGTAAGTCAAAAGAGGTAGTGCGACATATGGGAAAAAGACGAAGAATTTTGAGACCTTTATAACGATGTATAATACTTTATACGTTTTCTTTACAGAAATATCTTTACAGAGGACTGTTGCTCGAACCTAATCGCACTTTGCATTTCAAGAAGTGATTAATCACACAGATTGCTCTCTACTAGCTAAACCGTAAAAGATACGAAAAAACTTTGTTAGTACGAAAGATGCAGAATAAAATTACGAATAAAATGATATATCAATAGTTAAGTGTGTTCATATAATTTTCTCGAGATTTCCCAGTTTTCCTTAAATTTTTCGATTGCAACTTGCTTGTAGGCCACACTGTGCGGAACTCGAAGTTGCGATATATGGCAACGGTAGGTTTAATATTTTCTTATAAATCCCTAAAAGAAAACTATGAGCTGTAAGATGCATTATCGAACAAAAGACTCAATTTTACCAATGCAATACCAAACGTGATTTCTATATCGCAAAAATAATATATTTTGGGTCACCCTCTCATCCGATTTTGATCCTACAAAATCTCGTGGATAGATATAATTGTATGAATTTATTGTATTGTTCCATCACAGCCTCTGTTTGCCATATAGCAATATATCCTTCAGATTCGGCGTATGCCTGTTTATGTTTACACCATTATATAGCCGTGTTTTTTATGACGGTACGCACTGGAAATTCCTCAAAACGTAACAACAGAGATGATTCTGAATAATGAGAACATATTTCTGTACTGGTACGTGGATTATAAGTTCCGGAATGTACATATTTTTCATAATGTTATTATGACTAACTCGATTTAAGGATGCAATTTATTTGAAAAAATGTGGGTCAAACTTTTTTGTATACATGAAAGAAAAACTATGTTATATTATGAAACATAAAAGAAAAGCTATGTTTTATGGTTACTATATAATACTTTATTTTAAAGTAAATGAAAAACAGGATAAAAACTTTTCAAAGTTTTCGTTGGGTAACCACCCGCACTAAAATTCATCGGAAATCCAGAAGCAAATACTCATTTGAGGAAATATCATTCATTTTCGTTTATTTATTGCAAATATTCAACACTCGTTTTGATCTATTCTGAAGATATATGTGGATATTACTCGGCATTATGCAAACTAACAAACAACAAACGCGAATTCCCATTCGAGTATTGAATTATTTTATTGAAAAGAAGCATACGGTTGTCGGCGAGCTTTCATGGAAGCAAAAAAGAAAATGTTGAATGGTAAGGGAAAAAGGTATAGAAAAATCGAGTGATGGTGCGAAAATTTTATTTATGACTTATTGATAGATATTGCATCAGCACGTTATTCATTTTTATATTTGTTCGTTTTAGGACTTCATAAAAATGTTTCACTTTGGATGATCACCAACAGCAATTTTATACCAGACAAATAATATAAAAGAAAGATATAAATATTTAATGATTAATTAAATAAAAAAATGAAATTTATGATCGAATAAAAAATGATATAAAAATATTCTACGTTTTTAGGTTGAGTAACGCTTTGGGGAGCTTTTTTATTTCCGTAATAGTAAATTAAATATTTTTCAAGTCTTTTGTCAAATTTTCATATAATTTTGTTATTTACAACAATCAGAAGTATCATAAACGTTCTATAAACGATGTAATACTTTAACCTAGTGTTATCAGAAGGCAACTCAGTGGCTATCTATTCTATTTATGATGGGATTATTATTACATATTTCTGGTAATAATGTAATATATAACGCAACAATGCTCTGAAAAATTATTTTTACTTGAAATCATGTTTAGATCTAAATTTTTGAGAGAAAACAGAAATCAGTTACTTAATATCAAGATGTCCGAGATGAAAATATAATCGGGAACATTTGTAATCGCAAGAATATCATATTATATTCCTGCAATTGATATATTTCATAATTTTTAATGTATTTAATGTATTCTTCAACAAAACATCAATTTGAGCTATAAAAATACCTGATTTGCATATTCAATTGCATATTGCTAAGGCATAAAATGAAAATATAAATAGAATGAGAAAGTGAACTACCTACGACATATCAGAATTATATTGAAAATATAAAAATTTTACATGTATTTCCTGCCACGCAATTCATTTCGATATTGGGAAGCATTTGACTGGGAGAATTCCCAGTCTTGGAAACCATTTTTCCAAACTTCGAATGAAGTTATTTTTGCTGTATGTGTTCATGTAAATGTCAATAAATGTCAAATATTATTTTCAGCTATTTCCTAAAGTAATTTATTATTTATTTTCAAGTACATTGCGAAGGATGGATTCAGCCTTTGCAAAAAAAAATATCTTCAGAACAATTCTCTTCAATTTAGATGATGTGTTACAATCATGTGAGTCGAAACCGTACTTCCGCCGTACTTTTTATTTGTATATATGGTTCTTCGCGTTTTACGATCTCATGTGAATAAATAAATCTAGCACTAGATATATCACGGAAGCTACATACATTGCAATCAATATAAAAACCTCGCTATCGCTTACCAATTCCATTGAAAGAACAAACGACCAGAACAGGTTGATTTTTCCTTTGCAAGCTGAATGAAATGGAATAACCATTGAATTATATATATTTTATTGCCAATTACCAAAAGCTGCTAAAGCTTTTCTGAA